AATGCATTAACCAAGCCTTGCATAAAAATACGATATTTAGATGATTCATAATTAAATTTTTTCTGAATATTTTTAACATATCAATGGGCATATAAGTCAAGCTAAACATATGAACTCAAGTGTGTGATGCCAGACATGTGATGCCTTAAACAAACCTTATTTTCTCTTGTAAAACTGCATACAAAAGCCTTATATCTGAGACCCTCTTATATTCGCATCAAAAGTGTACTTTTCTTGTTAAAAACCTTCGACATATCAATCTGATACCTGTTACGCTACCTTATTTACAAGCTGTTTCATATTTCTTAAGAATAATATCAAAAATACAGAGTTGCCTTATATGAAACTCGCTCTCACATTAAAGCTGCCTATTTTTCTTCTTTTTTATCAAAATAATTCATTGTTTTTAAAATTTTTAATGCCTAATTCGTTTAGAAATTTTCAATCATACTCCACCGAATACTAAGCAGTGATATCATTAAAAAGGAAATCGAGACGCATTAAAAAGGAAATCGAGAAATCCAGTTAAAACGAAATAGGAATGCATGGAAAAAAGCAGCAAAACATGCAAATGGAATTGCTAGGAATAAGTATCCTGGAGGGCTATTAAGTTGCGAATCAGGTAATGTTCCATTCATCGCGTCTTAATTGCCTCTGGTGCACGGGAAGAGAGGAAATCCCAGGCGGTTAAAGGTCGTCCCATTGCAAATCGAGTCAGATAATTAGACCACCCAGTTGCCTGGAATTTATCTGTTTTAATGAATAAAGATCGTGACGTCACCTACTGGCGTTAATGAACCACCTGGAGTAATCCCGAAATCTCTCCTGATGCACGCAGGATGTACTTCGGGTGGAAACAAGACAGCATAGCCGAAAAATCAGCTTTAGTGTTTTTTTTGGGGGGAAGGATTTATACGCGGTAAAACTTCAAGTATATCTGACCACTGCTGAAGAAAAATTATCTATCTTTGAATAAAGTGGGATTTAAAGAACATCCAGCCAACACACAGTAAAAAATCTATAAAAATATTTACTTGCAATTGAAAATCTTGACAGAACTTAATGGACTAATTCCTCTTGTTGAATCGTGCATAAGTCAATTAGCATATACTCTACCGGTTACGTGCGTAAGAGACTATTAAATTACAATAAACTCATATCTCTCTTATTAACCTTAACCTGTGTCTTAAATATCTACTTATTAGAGACTAAACGTTTTGGGGAGAATAGAAAAAAAAAAAAATAATAATAATAACTGTGCATTCCTTGGGATACGAACCACTGATCTTTCATTTGATAGCTAGATGTGCTAAAATTTACGTCACAAACATGTGAACAAGGGAACGAGAGAATTCTTTACATTCTTCCCCATTTGAAGACGACTGAGGAGAGGGACCTGACTGAATCAGTTAAATCCAATCATCATGTACCACATTTTAGATCGGGCGCCATTGTAAAAACTATCATCATTTTTAGAAGCATGAAATATGAAAAATCGATCTCGTTCTCACCCAGCATTCAAACTACGGTCTTCCATTTGCCAATTGATTATGCTAACACCACAAAAGTAAGCACGCAGAGAACAAAATCCGTAATTCCTTTACATTTGGAAACCTGGAATTCGAACTATGAATGACTTATTTGAATCAGCTGGATGTACAAATCACTTACATCACAAGATCCTGTGAGCGGGAGTGCGAAACTCCTTTTGAACCGATCTCTAGAAAAGAAAGTGTTAGCAATAAAATTGCAAGCAAAAGAATATAAACATGAAAGTAGACTTAAGAGTATCTATAAATACATTGTAGTGTATTGCAATGCATTTATTGACAACGTTCGCCCGCAGTTCGCAATACGAATCTTTTATTCATGAACACAGATATCAATATTATCTTCTACTGTTATACAGGGTGATTCAGAATTCATCATAAATATTTGGTGGGGGAGGTAGGGAATAGGAAAAGAAGGAGATTTCACATAGGAATGCATGGGCCCATATGCCGTGAAGTAGGTCAAAATGACCGCAGTCTAATGATGAAAAGAACACATAAGAAGGAAGTGGTAAGGAAAAAAAACATTTATTACCTTACATGTAACATTTCTTTGCATCGACTTTACAGATTTACAAGAGGTGCTAGAACTGCCGACCATGTGCTAGAATGCATGACGTTGCATGGACAACCGGACCTTTCGGAATATGTTTGGCGTTTCTCGGATGTTTGCAGCAACAACCGATATGCGTGCTACAAGGTCCATAGCACTACCAACAGGGCTCTCGTATACGAGTACACGATACTTTTCATAGCACCCCATACAAAGAAATCGATTGGACATAAATCCGGTGAACGTGGTGGCCAAGAAACCTATCCACCGCGATCAATCCATTGACCACCAAATTTCTGCACAGCATTTGCGAAATGCAGGAGCGCCGTCATGTTGAAAACAAATTCGCCGTGTAATACCATCAAGAACCTCGTTCAGAAGATCCGGCAATATAGTCTGAAGAAATGTCAGGTACTTGGCGCCGTCCAAACGAGACGGTAGTAAATACGAGCCCAACAAACAGTCACCGACAAATTCCAATCCACACATTGACAGCAAAACGCTGTTGTGCAACTTCAGGTCTTGTACCGTATGGGTTCTGACGAGCCCCCACATGCATATTGTGTGTGTTGAAGACATCTTCTCCGGTGAAAAACGCGTCATCGATGAAAAGAACAAACTTTGGGAAATTGGGTTCAATGGTTTTTCTCTGAATGAACCATTGACAAAAAATAACAGGCTTGGGATGCTCATCTACTGCCAGTAATTGCATTCTCTGCAGATGAAACGGGTGTAACCCTTCATCGTGTAATATCCACCATGCTGTTGCTTGCGAAATTTCAAACTGCCTAGCCATACCTCGTGTGCTAGCACCAGGCTGTTCGTCGATTTCATGTGGAACAGCTTCCTCTACTGCTACTGTCCGTGCCGATCGGCGCCTCCCTCGATTAACATTACTAGCAGAAAATGAGCTTATTTCACACAGTTGTCAATGAATATGTGAAAACATGAAAACATTTGATGCTGTGGCAAACGGCGGTTGAGGAAGCGCGCTGCACCATAAGTTGCATGGATATCTGCAAGTTCATTTCACGTATACCGGTTCATGTTATTTCTGCAAAGTCACCTAGTCGAAGGACGATTGACTGCACGCATCAAACAGCGGTGCTTATGTATGGGAGTACACACAGCGGCCTCTACACCACCATGCGTTCGTCTGCGCTCATGTTTTCCTATGTGAAATTTCTTTATTTTCCTATTCCCTACCTCTCCACCAAATATTGATGATGAATTCTGAATCACCCTGTATGTAATACAAATGTTAAAATTTAAAAAGATCTATTCACGGTGCATTCCTAGAAAATGATAAACTACTACTTCACACACATCTCATGTATCGTGAGACATCTAATCTCTGCTTAATCTTTTTATATATGCAGTCTCAGAAACTACCGCAAGTGTCCAAAATATTTCCGATTGCATTTTTTGAAAGAAAAGCTTGGTTATAAATTGAACCGTGCAGTCAAAACTCACATTTTGTTTTAAGATTCAACAACAGACAGAATTGCAGGAGAGCTGCTTGAAATTTGACACAATTACGAAAACCGCGGCAGGTTTCCTTCTTAATTAGCGCATATTTTTAGAAAACTGTTTTTAATTTTATGCTTAGATATATTTTAAAATCCTTCATTTTGTTCCGTTTTGAAGCCTACTTTGTTTGCAATTCTTAGAAAGATCAGCTGTGATGTCGAGGTAGAAACACAAATAGAAAACCCTTTTGCGGATAAAACCATCCGTTTGTCTAGTAACTGTGCAAAATATGAGTAGATGCTTGCATTAAAATATTGTATAAAATTTAACTATCTTGGTATTTAAAAATCCTTAGAATAACCTCCAAATACGATTTTGTAGAAGCGATTGTTAGTCTTCCACCTGTTGACTAACAATCGCTTCTACAAAATCGAAGTCCCTGTATTTATAGAAAAAAAGTAAACAAAAAAAAGTAAACAAATTTTTGGAAGTGTACATAAGTCTCATATAACTATACGCAAGGTTGAAAGAATTATTAGTAAAGATTTTGACTATGCAGAGAAGTGAGAATTTTTTTGTCAAAATAAAATGTACTTTATGATAGAACTACAGTAGTTTTAACAAGAGGATTTACGGTGTTTGTCTTGGTCTGCCGAACTCATTTGCATAGTATAAAAAATTTAAATACACGCTTTGTGAAAAAAGCGCAAAATAAAATACTATAAAGCAATGAAAATATTTTCAGTTCGAATCTATTTTTTATAATATAATATTTTATACTTTTCTTAATTCAACAAACAAAATCATTCAGAAATATAATGCCTTTAATTAATTTGGCAACATATTCATAGTATAAGATATTTTTTCCCTCCTTTTCGCATGCCTTCGTGGTGTAATTGGAAGCATACTCGACGAGTATTCGAGAGGTTCAGGGCTCGAGTCCTGGCGAGGGAACTGTAAATTTTTAACTGCTTCTGCTTCAGGAAAAAAAAAAAAAAAAAAAAAAAACCCACCTAATGGTTCTACAAGTATCGCCCGAACTGAAAGGTGGTGGACAATAATTCGTCATAACTAGGATTTGGCATTTGGGTCCCCTAATCCCTAGTCACCCTTTAAAAGGGGGAGTATATAAGGTATTTTCTTCTTTCTTTCCACCTGCCATCGTGAAGCACACTCGACATGTATTCGGGAGGTCAGAAGTTCGATTCCTGACGAGGACATTGTATATGTTTCACGGCTTTTGCTTCAAAAGAACCTAATGACTCTACAGAGTTACGCCATATATATGATTGAAGGTTTGGACTACATCTAAACTGCTATTAATTAATTGCTATGAAGAAGTAAACGAATTTCAAACAATAGGAAAAAAACTAAACTTTTTTGAAGTTAATATTATTTTCAGATCAAATTGATAATTTTAGTCTTACCGCTCTTCCTGCCTCATTGTTGTGCAGGTTCATTATGTAACGTAAATCCTTTCCTCTTTCTGCGGCGTCAACAAACTGCCTTGAGAACTTGGCCCCGAAATCGATGTTGTCGCTACATCCACCCCATTCCCAGTCCAAGCCACTGGGTCCTCGGCGTCTGTAATCGCAGCTGCATGTGCTCACCAAACCCTCTCTGCAAGCCCGTGCAATTGCGTGAGTGACCCCCGCACTTGTGATGGCATAGAGAAATGCAGTCTCTCGGCAACCTAAAACAACAAATAGAAAATATAATATATTAATGTATCAGTGTAATGCATTTTTCAGCAATTAAAAGTATTTTGATGAAAAGAATACTACATTCTTCTTTATGCATAATATAACATCTAGTCTTTTAATTCTACTTCACACTAGACTAAGATTTCTCAAATGTTTCTTATGTGCAATTATTTCTTGACCAAACAAATTCCAAGCAACTTGTTTATTCTATTTACAACATTTTCTTGCTGTCTTAAATTGCAGAGATCTGCCAAGTTTACTAAAAGTGAAGCAAATTAAAAATGAATTATTTACGCGAAATGTAAAGCTGTATTACGTTTGAGCTACTCGTTCTTACGCAAGCGTTAAAATAATATAAAGCATTAATAGTACACTTAAACGTTTTATTTGATTTTTCATATTATGTAAAATTTCTAAACGCTTCTGTGACCCCGTTGTTAGGAAAACCTGTTGTACGTTACTTTCTCCTCTGTTTTAGTGTAAAAAATTAAGAGCATCTGCATCATATGCTTTTGTAAGTTAATACTCTGCATAGCCTCTTTGTTTCTTTAATGACAAAACAATTGGTGCACTTCAAAGAGGTGTCAACCGTCTGTTGAAATCCTATTCTATATGTGCCTCATCGCCTATGTCCTGTTTCTAGTAATTTGGTGTAACCAAGTACGAATTCAAGTATGGGTAAGAACAAATTTTCAAGGAATCCTACTATCAAAGGACTACACTGGTGTGCAAAAAGGACGAGACGATTTCTTCAATATAACTTTGTACAAAAGCTTTCCAAATCAACACATTTAATACCGACATCCCCAATACGTAAGATCCCCAATACGTAAGGACATGAGTAATGTAAGCAACACTTACTAAAAGAGAAATCAGAGGAATAAAAAGAAGATTTATTGAAAAAGTAGCATGGAGGGAAATGCTACTGAAGGCCGAAACATCCCTGTGATGGGTGTCCAGCAAGAAACATCCTGTCTTTAATAGGGGATATGATCTCCCCTGACTGCTAGGTAGGTTTCACAGCGTCTGCCCATGCTGAGAATGAGGGTGTCAATGAGCTGTTGAGGCATTGCTGCCCATTCGTCTTGCAGCGCCAATCGAAGCTCCGGAATCGTTACTGGTGGTAAGGTACGAGCTGCCAAGCGTCTGCCTAGAAAATCCCATACATGCTCGATGGGATTGAGATCCGGAGATCATGCCGGCCAATCCATACGTTCAATATCCTCACTCTCTAAGAGCTGTTCGGCAGCTACTGTGCGATGACATGGTGCACTGTCGTCCATTAAAAGGAACTGCGGACCCATAGCACCTCTAAAAAGACGCACATATGGAAGAAGAATCTCGTTACAATAACGGGTCCCGTTGACTGAACCTGCGTCGAAGATGTGAAGGTCTGTACGACTACCAAGAATGATGCCTCCCCAAACGAGAACACCGCCACTACCATACCTGTCCCTTTCAATGATGTTCGAGGGATGATTGCGGCTTTCCCGCTCTCTCCAGATGAGTATGCGATGAGAATCGCTACTCAGACTAAATCTGCTCTCATCTGTAAAGAGTACTCGTCCCCATTCATTGTCTCTCCAATTCCGGTGTTCTCAGCACCACAGAGAACGCCTTCTCCGATGGGCAGGCGTTAGAGGTACACACCGTACAGGGCGTGGTGCAAACAGACCACCACCGTGCAGTCTTCTGGCCACGGTAAAACGCAATATCGGTCGTCCAGTCGCCTGTGCCGTGTGTCTAGCGATTTCTCCCGCTGTCTGCCGCCTGTTTCTTCTGGCCTGTAAGGCAATATACCGGTCATCTGCGGGTGTAGTTCCTCGTGGACGACCACTACAAAACCCCCGGATAGCTGTTCCTGTAGTTTGAAATTGTCTCCAAAGTCGTGAAACGATGCTGTGAGCAATTCCGAACTCTGCAGCCACACTTGTCACACTGCGGCCTTCCTCCAACTTCCCAAGGATTCGTCCTCGGGTAAAAGCATCCAGATGTCGTCTAACAGATTGATTATTCGCCATTTCTCGCTGAGGCAGCAACTCGGTGTGATTTTAACTGCTATACGTCATGCAATCTCTTTGCCAGAAATACTGATCTTACACCGACAACATGCTTTATACTACTCAGACACTTCCCGATTACGTCTACCTGCATATCTGCGCATGTGCTACCGTACATCACCTTACTTAATCTCCTGATTGGTCTTTCTGTCCGCTCTGCCTCTTCGTTCAGCTGATATGCTAATTTTTCGACTTCGTCCTTAATTTTTGCACACCAGTGTATTAGGAGCCGAATGGATAAGACCATTAAACATTGGTAGTCTGACTGTGTTTAAATCTTGGGAAATGGGCTCGTTGCATAGAAGTTTTTGCGACTTCCCACTTGTATACAAGAACATGAGCCAGTTTTCTTTAGAAAGTGTTTTGTCATAATCTGTCACTTGCTAAAATTCCTCTAATTTCTACTTGGTCAATTATATTTTCAATATATTATACGCAACTTGGAATTGAGCTTGCACGTTTAGCCAAACAATAATAATAGTTACGAACATTTAATCTTAATAAAAATCTTATTGATTGCAAAGAGTTAAAAATAGTTACACATTCTGCGAATTGCAGATTAAATTTTCACAAAATAATTTATTTACGAGCCAAGAAACATTTCAACGAACATTTTCAATAGTATCATTTCAATATTCCTAGCCTAGACAGATAGCTTAAATCCTATTAACTATCCTGAAAAAGCCTAAGTTCACCGTTGTTCATTAAATGTTTTCCTTCAAATCCTTTTTAAATATCCCGTGGAATGGATTATAAGAAGAGAATATTTAAAAATTGCAACTGAAACTGAATTAAAATTTCTCGGTTTTCGTAGAGTTTATCGGAGGTCCATATTTAAATAGAGATATGAATTTTTTTACTTCTGTTTTACATTCCGGGAATGAGACAAAATTTCGATCACAGAGAAAGATAAAAAGCTCTCTTCTTACCTTCGTTGTCCCAAATCAAGAAACTTCCACTCAGATCACAATAAGGGTATTATCTCTAACGCGTTATGAAAACATTTTAGATGAAAAGGCACAATAAGAGACAAAACAAAATTGTGAAAATTATCATTGGTCTGGTGAAAAGTTTGGTTTCTGCATAAGAGTTTCTGTTTTAAAACGTTTTGCATGCTTGATTGATAAAAAGAAATTAATAGTTCAGTAATAAAAATGATGGCAGATTGTAACAATCAATATAAACAACCTGATTTCTAAACGTTTTATTCTGTAAAGGTATTTAAAAAAATAAATACAATTTAACAATCACCTAAGAAAGTGTTGCATGTATAAATATCATCCACATTATTGTTTTGAAGCGAAGGAAACTGGTTTCCGAGAAGAATTTTTGCGTTTCAAACAGTTATTATAGTTATAAAATGATGCATTTTTGTTAAAGAGAAATTATGACTTTTAACGATATCGAGACAGTTACCAACAATAACTTTATAAAAATTTATATGACTTCTGTTTAGAGTTTCTTGACTGAAAATAACAAAGGTATTATTCTCGGAGTATAAAATTTTACTTATTCATGAAAGATAATGAAAGATACGCAGTTTTGAATCTGTTTGACCAGTCCTCATCTCAATGCTTGACTTAACACTTCGTTTTGGGTAAATTAATTTTTATATATTGATAGTAGAGAAGAAAAGGTCGTAATTAAGTTTGAAAAAGATTTGTATACTTTTAACAGGATTTACAATTCCATAACTGAAATGCTAGCCATTGTATCTTCCATTAAGAATTAAAATAAAATGTTTACCTAAATCCTCAGTTTCTAAATATGAAATATGTAAGGATAAATTTTTTAAAATATGTATAAATATATTTTGTATAAATGAGAATTTTATACATCAGGTTCGTAGAGTGGTTGATTCAGAGATTCAGATAGAATGGAAATTTAAATTTTGGGCTTAAAACAGGAATGAATGACGGAAGTTGTTGAGAATATATTTAAGCTTATTACGATTTGAGGGGCTTTCCAGCAAACTAAAGTTCTATAACAGTTATTCATCCTCAATCTCTACCTTAATAAAAGAAGAAAATTATCGTTATAACGGAAGATAATGACTTGAAATAATAATGGAATGGAGAGAAAAAATTAAGTAGTATTCATTTGTTAAAATGCAAACAGAAAAAAAAATTGTGAACCAATAATTTTTTATTTTAACTCACAGCAGCAGACGCATCACTACTGTTGCCACATATATTGAAGTAAGTAACCCATTTTAGGTCCCCGTGACATACATACGTGAGCCTTGCATTATCCTTAACTTAAACCGACTATGGAAGAAACAAACGCATAAAGATGTGAAATATTAACTAACTAAATTTTAATTTCAATTAAAGTACAAAAATTACAAATATAAAATCTACGCCTCCTCGACTTTCAGCTATTGCCCCCAATTTACAGAAATCAATGTGATGACTGGTACTGCTTTTTTGATACAAGTTTATCAATGTCCACTGTAATTTCAGTATGGCAAAGTCTCAAGCTCGATTCCAGTGAAGCGATTTCTCGTTTTTGATTTAATGTTTTTTTAAAGCAGAAAAAGCAAGTTCACACACATGTGTGCTGCCAAACAACAATAACATTTGCAAAGAGAATTTATGCAGTTTGGGAAAGCGTTCTGTAGAAATCAGTTTCTAGAAATGTTTAGTGACATCACACTTTTTAGTCTGGTAGAATAGATCTGCCTGAAGATCACAAATTTCCATTTGAAGGTCGCAAGGCCCCTTAAGGAATCAAAATCCTGAAATCTGTCCTGGAACTCTTTCTTGATATCAGTAATTACTTCATGAAACATACAAAAATTTGTGTCATTTTCTTCTTTCAGCTGCTGACAAAATGGGAAGTGTACTGTATTATTTGCCTTCAGTGTAATTTGCATTACATTCAGTTTTTTGTGAAAGCCTTCAATATGTCCTGTGATAAGGTTACATAAA